TGAAGAGAAATCCTATCAGGAAGAACCTGCAATATTAGAAAGTAAAGTGAAAGCTGCCCTGAAAGCACTTGGAAGCAACAAAACACCTGGAGTAGACAGGATACCAACAGAATGACTCCAGGCTGCAGAGAGTGAATTAGTCTTAAGACTAACTAGAATATTCCAACAAATTTGGAAAATAAAACAATGCCTTACATATTGGAAACAGTGCACTAATTTCTCAGGCAAGCAAAGTGATGCTTAAGATGTTGCAACAAAGAATTTTACCCTATATGGAGGGAGAAATGTCCGATGTTCAAGGTGGATTCCAAAATGGAAGAGGCACTAGAGATCATATTACAACATAGGGTGCTGGAGCAAACCAAAGAATTTCATACCAGTCCATGCTTTGCAGAATACAGCAAAGCCTTTGACTGCATGCATCATAAAAAGTTATGGATTGTTCTGAAAGAGGTGAGTGTGCCTCAGCACTTGATTATCCTTTATTGTGGAGAAGAAGCTACTGTTAGGACAGAATATGAAGAAACAAAATGGGTTCCCATAGGCAGATCACCCTAGCTGTTCAATCACTACATAGAACATATAATAAGCTTGATAAGGATCAGGGGAAGGAGTGAAAATTGGTTGAAGATACATCAATAATTTAAGATATGGAGGTGATACCATACTATTGGCAGAAAAAAGCAACGAATCGAAATTACTTCAAATGAAAGTGAAAGAAGAAACTGAAAAAGGAGAACTTTTTTCATTAAACATTACAAAAATCAGGACAAAACATTTACACAACTAATCTCAACCATGAAGTGACTGAAATTGTAAGAGATTATTAATTCAAATGAAGACTGCCAAGAAATTAGAAGATGACTGAGACATGGAATGGCAGCAATAAACTACAAAAGATCAATTGTAAGGATGTTTAACTGGAGACTAAGAGCAAGATCATCTACAATATTTTATTTCTGATCACTATGTATGGGTATAAGAGCTGGAGAGTGTAAAAGATTGGCAGGAAGAAAATTAATATATTTGAAACATGATGTTGGAGGAGAGCTTTATAAATACCATGGACTAACAGAGAGACAAACAAATGAGTCCTAAATCAAATCAAGCCAGAACTATCCTGGAAGCAGTGCTGACTATGGTCAGTGATAGATCTGAAGCAAGTTGACCACTAACTATATAACCATAGCTAACTTAAAACCAGGAGAGGGAATCCTCAAACTTGTAGGCCAAAGGTTTTTTTTTTTTTTTTTTCATTTTATCACTGGCTAGGATTGCCAGTTGATGATCTTTTATTCCATTTTTAAACCAACAACAGCAAAAGGAACTACCCACTCCTATCCCCAGTACGTCACCAAAGTGCCTTTGCTTTCACTCGCAGGTGCTGTGCTAGTTAAGAAATAGCAACAGGGTTTCAGGTAGAGATGACTATAGCTCAATAGCAGGAGTTTTTAGGTTCAATTTAAGAGGTTCTGCCAGGCAGGTAGAAGAAATTTCCACCTGAAATCTTGGAGTTACTGCCAGTCAATGTAATAGGCTACATAGCAACTCTTAATATAAGGCAGCATTTTGTTTTTCACTCAGCTAAACTGGTGTGTTTGTCTGAGCTTCTCTGTTGCTAATAGGTGATACAACTGGGAATTCCATTCAACTAAATGACTCTTATGTCTGAGTTTTTCTCACTTCCCTCAACTGTTGCAGGTTTTAGTTAAGAAAGAGCTTGTGGGACAGGAGAATGAGATGATGGGAGTGGAACTGGAATTTTTTTTCAGCTGAGATTCCTGCATCATGCCTCTAAGTATACATGCATTACAATTGCCTTACTTGAGGTGGAGGTGAGTGCAGGAGAAGTAGAGATGAAGTTGAATTGCTTTTGTTTGATCTGGGTAAATGTGCTTATAACTAATATATACTTTCAATACCTTCTGAATATACATGCAAAGAATGAAACTGAGTTTCCCTTTGAGTGAACATGAAGAGAACACAGTTGTACTTTTGTTGGTTTTCTCAGTAAACATCCTCTAGTATAGCAAATGTCTTTAGAGTTGTGGTGAGGTCTGGCAACAGTTTGATATCAACAGTTTATGATTTAAATTGAAATAAAAATTAAATAAGCTCTGTTCCCTTGGTGTCACCCACCACAACTTATAGTTGTCTAAAAGCAGTAAATTGCTAATTGAGTTGTCTGGCAGAATCGAGAATGTGAGCGCTGGACTCATTCAGGTCAGGGTTTCATGCCAGGGTTTCATGCCACATTTAAATTAACTTAACCCTAAGTCTAGAAAATAAAAACAAAACACTCTTTAGTTCATCAGAGCAAACTTTAAAATACAATACATATATTCTTCTCCAACTTTGGAAATCCTTCCATTTTCTAAGTAATCAACAAAGCAAGTATACATAGCTGTCAACAAAATCATGATGCATCAAATTTGTGCACTCTAAAAAAATCTGTATAACCAACAAGACCCTTTTGTGTGTTTTTGGCATAAATGTGTGTTGAAAATAACAGTGTTCCTATTTGACAATTTCATATTTAAAAATCATTTAGACTAATGGAAGAGAATCAGAAATCTACTCCTATCCCTCCTCCTGTACTTCTAATTGTACTTTTGGCCTGTTCTATTTTATGAATGTTGCTAGCCATTCAGAGAGCCCTTAGAGAGCTAGTCAGTGCCTATAAATCTGAAATAAATAAGCTTTGTGGCTATTTTGTACCAAAAGCCAAATGCTGCTCTGCCATGAAGAGAAAAACAGATATTGGTATGTGTGTGTTTCACACATAAGTGCAGATTCATATCAGTCTTCTACTTGACATCCTTTAAGAAATTTAAAATTGGTGATCAATAACATGGTAACCCTAGCCTTTACCATATTGCATATTGCTCCAGACTAACCAATCAGTGAATGAGTCACTATCTCTAGTCTATCAACTATGAGACTCTTGCTTATGTATGATCACCATTAGCTATGACTAATTGCAACTTTAATACTTCCATAGTTAAATCAGGTATGACTCAATATTGCCCTATAATTGCCCTACAATAACTGCCACTGACTAAGAACTTAAGACACATAACGAAGATTTTTTTTGCTGGTCCATGACAATAAAATAAAATGAAATAAAATAAAGGTAATATTATATGGTCCTAATAAATGTATTGTCCAACTAAGTTTTATTCTCATTCATACTGTTTATGTTTGGTCCACATGTATGGACCTTTATGAAACTATATACATGTTGAAATAGAAGGTGGGGGAGAGAAAAATATCATTTCTGAAATGGTAGTAGGTGGAGACTTTCTAAAAGTTGGTTCTTGTCAGGGAGAAGCAGCATCAATTAACCCCCCTCTACAATTATCAAGACCCATACTACCCAAGTAGCCATACTCCAAAACTTTTTATTACTTAGGATTAAAGAAAGGAGAAAATCCAATTTATAAAATGTAATGTAATAAGGAAGTTTGTAGTGATAACAAGAACTAGAGGTAGAACTTCAAATTCTACATGTTGAAATGTAAGCCATCAACAGCTGCTGCTGATGCAAATTTGAAGACCAGGAAAAGTTTCAATTAAACTTTATTTTTAATATAAATAAAAATCTAAACAAAAATATGGAAATAAAATATTTTGTTACTGCAGTTAAGAACATAGTAACAGCTATAACAGATGAACCCAAAGGTTCATTATGGCAATTCCCAGTGTGGTGCCTGTGAGCAGTATGGAACCTGTGAGCCCCTCCAGTGGCACTGGCAAACAGATCCCCAGCATGGTACTCATGGGCATTGGAAAGTTGGTTAGTTTCTTTGATACACATACCTACGTAGTATATGTGTACATAGTCTTCAACAAATACACATACTCTTCAGCTAAGCAAGTATACATAGTTTTCAACAAACGTGGATTAAATATCCAAATATGTATGCATTTGAAGATAACATCCATATGCCACCTGTTCATATTTCAAAAATGTTACAAGTTTCTCAATCCATTACACTGTACGAGGTGACAGTTTTTCTGTCCAGTTTTGTAATACCAGTCTTCTAGCTATCAACAGGCTGCCAAGAATCCATTTCCCCTTACATGTTACTTTCCATGAAGCAGGTAAAGAACTGAAAACAGCATGTTCATCACTGAAGACGGTTCTAGTAAAAATTTATAATAACCACCTCCCCACAAAAAAGGATCTACTGGACATTACCAAAACATCCTTAAAAGAAGCATTAGCTGTACTGTACCTCCAGCAATAAGCTAAATTAGGAAAAAATGAGTAAAGAGATGCAAGCTAAGTTCCACAGATGTGGCAGGTAAGATGCCAAATTAGACATTTTGTGGTGGTGCCACAAATGTGCCTTCAGGTCTAAAAATGTTTCAGACCCTGGTCTATCTGATCTAGCACTGCATTCCCACAGTGGTCAACAAGACAAACAGGAAATCCAACAGCGGGAAACATGTTCTTGTGAACATAGATTTCAGAGGCATACTGCTTCCAGTACTCAAGGTAATACAGAATCATTATGACAAATGGCCATAGACAGCCTTATCTTAAATGAATTTATCTAATCAGTTCCCTTTAGAAATTGTCTACGTTGGTAGTAGCCATCACTATGTCTTATAGTAGTAAATTCCATAGTTTAACTATGCATACATGAAAGAGAACTTCCAGCTGATTCTCTGTCATTTATGTTAGTAGCAAGGAGGCAACCCAATCTGATTCAATACTAAGTAACAAATTCTGCATATACTCCAATGTGTCATGTAAATTACCTTGCTGCAATAGAATTTCAGATGATCATACTTTTACATAGACTTTATTTATAATGGCTTAGAAGGAGACTCAGTCATGCCAAGAATCATGTCTAACTCAACTCCCGCTGATTTAATAGGTCTACTCTAAGTCTGATGCACATGAAAAGATTTCATTAAACAGAAATTGTTACATTCAGTGAGGCAGAAAACAATTTGGGTATATAAGTAGCAGTATAAAAAAGGATACTTACAGTTGCATGGGATATGGTCAGAATACCATTCTTAACAGTGCATTTTCTTCTTTGCCAAACTTTCCGTAGCCTAAACATTAGAGGAATGTGACATGATAAAAATGTTTCAGAAGATAATTACAAGTATTGATATAAGTATGGGCATAAAGTTTGACTCTTTAATGCTTCTACTAGTTCACAGCTATTTCTTATACCAAAAGAGGTAATTTGCATGTGACAGCAGCAGCAAAGAGTGAGTGTGCTAAACACTGGAAAATACAGCCAATTCTGTCTATATATGAATGGTAACAAAAGATGGATAAATACGCCATGCTGTCTAACAGAGTGATGCTATGCCCATAACTAGCATCAAGAAAGCCAAAGAACTTTTTCAGAATTTCAGATTCAAGGTCTAAAAGTAGCTTGGGCCAGACCTGGGGATTCATGCTAAGATCCCTCTTCCTTTCCCACAGCCAGCCCAGATAGGAAAATTGCCAGCTGCCTCTCACAGGCCTTCTGAGTAACCTTGGAGAAAGGTTTTACAGGCATTCCATGCAGGCAAGAAGTGGAGGCGATTGGCACCATCAAGATATGACATATCCAGACAGTGCTGCATCCTCCTTCCCACACCCTCTGAAATGCCAGAGTTAGATGGCCAAAATCAGTCATCTAGTTTCTTTAAACAGTGGGAAGTTGTGTGGAAGTGACCTTCGTTTCCAGACTCCTCCCACTTTGCCTAGGATGCCAATTATCTAGGATGTCATAAAAAGGGTTCCTTGCAAAAAGGATATAAATGCATAATTATATAATTATAATATTATATTACAATCAAGAATAATAGTACTAATAAACTAAATGTACAACCATATTTAATCTCTTGTATGCAAAATAATCTCAGTCATTTTTCTTCATATTTATTTCAAATAAAATGGGGAGGGAAAACATGAAGCTGCTAGAATAATCTTTATCATTCCTGTAAATTCTATAGCATATTAGCCACCAGAATTGCACATGCAATCTAATTTAACTACTTGTGGACAGCAATTCTCCTCTGATAAAGAACCAAAATAATAAGCAATCTACTCCAGTAGAAGGTATATTTCAACTTATTTTTCTAAAGCTATACTCAAAGGATATGCTACCCCTAAGGCTATACAGTCTTCTTGATGCGTACTGAGTAGCCCTGAGGAGGAAACATGATTGTTTTTTCTCCTTGTTTGTAAAAGACATTTCACTTGGCTTCCTACATTCCCTAAAGCGGGGGTCCTCAAACTTTTTAACCAGGGGGCCAGTTGAAAGGTGCTGGTGCTGGGCGCGGGCTGAAAAGGTGGTGCTGGCAGTGTATGCGGGCCGGTGCAGGACCAGTGCGTGCAGGTGCGCACAGTGAGGTGTACGTGTGCGCGGGGAGGGGAGGGGAGGGGAGGCGGGAGCAGACATGCACCGCGAGGCAGGCGCACAAGGCAGCAGCTTGCTCATTTGGAGATCATTTTCTCCAAGCAAGCAAACCACTGCCTCCCCGTGCGCAGGGCCAGGTGGGCGGTGGCGGGCCCAAATGGCACGGCGGGCCGGATAAATGGGCATGGCGGGTCGGATCTGGCCCCCAGGCTGTAGTCGGAGGACCTATGCCCTAAAGTCTAGTTTAATTTTTTCTACTATTGTAGCTTGCTTTTCTTGTGCTTTATTTATATACTTATGTTTTTGTTTTATGAGCCAGTCAGAGAACTTCAGCTATTAGAAAGTACAGAAATATATATAGTTAACATAGGTTGCACCAGGTATGTACATTTTCACAGGTAACTGAATGAAGGATGGTAGCCTTAAAGTGGCAGAAATAAGTAAAAGACAATAAACATCTCACTCAGAGATGAGAATTTTAAAATTACTGACAGATTCCTCCTAAACTTTCTCTAATCCAGCTGAGTACTTCTGCTTTCACTGGATGGTGAGACTACTTTAAAAATGGGGTCCATCTTTAACTGCAGTTATCACTTCAATATCTAGCTCAGGGCAGGCACAATCTACTAGCAAATCTCTGGATGATTTCCAGTACACCAGCAAAGATTTCTGACTCCCAATTATTTAACAATAATCATAAAAAGGTTGCAGCACTATATCAACTCACTTGCCTGAACCATGGGCAAATTGTTTTCGAACTTCCATGTTTTCCAGCTGTAAAATTGGACATTATGCTTAGGGGAGATGGCACAACTTGCTTTTTCATAAAGCTGCAGAATATTTGTGTGTGGGGTTAACCATTCCATCTCTCAGTCTCAGTGTTCCAGACTTGTGGAATACGAGTTACTAATTGGATGCCTTTAACAAAATGCAGCTCTGCTGGTCAGTTTTAGATTTATGCTAAGATCTCTGTTCTGAAGTTACTGAAATATACATTGGAATATACAAATGAAAGCCATCCCAGTATGTGTGTGCATGCACATGTGTACACACACGTGTGTGTGTGAAAGTGAGATTAATACAGCTTAACATAATCCAATCCCAAAGATTTATTTCACAGCTTCAATATGAATGAATCATGGACAATTCACGGGGTGCAGTTCTATCCCCTGAGCCACTATTTTGTGTTTGACTTGACCTCATTGTTATTCTGCACATGACCAGTTGTTGGACTTTGATGCTCTAATAATAATAAAACAATAAAAACTGATTCCAAAAGCCTCAAATCTGAATGTTATTAGAGAGATGGCTGTATGCTGAATGTCACATCTCATTACAGATGGGATCCAGGAGCGAGTCTTTTTCTTCCCAGCATTTGAGCAAATGACAGAAGTCTTATCGCAGCAGAAGGGAACACATGGCCCTCCAAAGAAGCCAGCACGGCCAATGGTGCTGACAGGAGTCCAAGTTCAATCTCTGAATGGCTGCATATTCTCCACCCCATTCTTACTGATGCAAAAGCCACCAGGAAGCTCATGGCACCATACTTAGGTGATCTTCCAGCTGGCACCAGTTAGACCCAGATCTCTTTAGCTTCATCAAGATTGCTGCAACCATTTTCCTTTAAACAAGCGTCCAACAAGTGAGTCCAGTTGACTGTGTCTATGTTTCAGACCTGCTGCTTGCAAATTGTACAGGAATAGCTAAAATGTTCCTTGGAGCCTCTCTATAGGGGACTACTATGCAGAACGTCTTTTGGTCTGATTACTGGTATGCTTCTCACTTGCTGTGCAGCTGGGTTACTTTGAGACTTAGGTGCATTATCTTTAATAAAGATAAAGTGCTTCTACTTTTAGGCAGATTTATAATCAATAAGAGGTTTAAAACAATGATTGTGGCAAAATCAGTTTGAATTTTATTAATATGAAAATGTTCAAACATATTCAATGCTTTTTTGACTGAGTTTCACATCTGATGGCAACACACTTACCAAAATAAATGTTTAAATATTTGGTGGGGAAAGCTTTCAATGCAAATGCAGTAACAATACTGGATGTAGGTAATACAGGAAGTCCCCTACATATCAACCTTCAAGTTGTGAACTTCCAGAGATGTGAATGAGCTTTTGTGTACTCCACTGTAATAAGTGAGAGAGGTAAATCCAGCAAAGCGTAGAACAACATGGGTGCAATTCCACACCGTCACGTACCTGGAAATATAACATCAGGAAGACTTCCAGTAAGATCAATGGAAGTTCTCCAGTGTGACTATAAGCTTATTACAGTACACTACTATATAGCTCATTGTGTTGGTTGGGTACCTAGGCTAACTCTGTTGGACTTACGAACAAATTGGACTTATGAAGGTGCTCTTGGAACAGAACTCATTTGTATGTAGGGGACTTCCTGTAATGTAATATTAAGAGTGTGTATGTACATGTATGCGCACGTGTATAAGTATATACATCTCTCTTGCATGCACGCACATGTGTGCATGCGTGCGCATGCAGACAAGATCAAGTCCATGTGTGCTAAATGTGCAACTTGAAATTCAGGAGGAGAGCTGTTCAGTTATCAGTTCTCACTGGAGATGGCAGTTTTACTGGAATTGCAGCACACAGCGTATCTTTTCCCATTAAAAGGTAAAGGTTGCCCCTTGACATTAAAGTCCAGTCATGTCTGACTCTAGGGGGCGGTACTCATCTCCATCTCCTAGCCGAGGGAGCCAGCGTTCGTCCACAGAAACTCTCCGTGCTCATGTGGCCGGCATGACCAAACACCGAGGTGCACGGAATGCTGTTACCTGCCCACCGAAGTGGTACCTTTTTGTCTACTTGCATTTGCATGCTTTCAAACTGCAAGGTTGGCAGGAGCTGGGACGGAGCAACAGGAACTCACCCCATTGTGCAGATTCGAACCGGCGACCTTTCGATCCACCAGCCCAGCAGCACAGCGGTTTAAACCACTGCGCCACATGCATCCCTTACAGTTCTACTAAAAACCCTCCCCAAGTCAAGCTGCCATGAGTTTCCAATGACAATAATATGAACTTTCTGTTCAGGGCTAATACAAGAATGTTGGGTGGGGAAGAGATTAATGTCGGGATCAGAGCAGGAAGAAAGAAGTTACTGCATGCTGCAGGTATGATGAAAATTGCCTCTGCAAGAGCTATTAACTATAAAAAGCTAACAGAACTTAAGTGACCTTTTTAGTGTCATACTGAGTTTGACACTTAGTAAGGGCAGATATTCTACATAGATAAAATTCCCTTTTCAGAGAGAGGATGAGAAGGATTTTTCAGTTGTAAACACAGTATTATAGATCAGTGCTAAGGAATACTTAACTGTGATATGTTTTTACTTTGTATGCAATACATCAAAGAAGTCAAGCTTGAAAATTCTTTATATGTGAACAGATAATTATACTAATGTACTTGACAGCTTGTTTTTAAAAGCAAGAAGGCATATATAATATGAACATTTAAAATCAATATAGCATACATATTCATAAATTTTTTCAGTAAGCTTCCTTATAAGGGCACTGTGTTCCCAAGAGCTGGAGAAGAAATGCAAGTTTTAGCATAACACATTTTACATTTATGCATGTACTGAATTTTTATGTGAGGTTTGCTGTGTTATATAAAGATATGTAAGTTGAAATGTTGCCAAAAATATTCCTTCCCTCAACAGTCATCAGACTTTCAGGTCAAACAGGTTATTTAGGAAAATCATTTCAGCAGTTTTTGAATCATATATATTTCAAGGTTTTATAACCTAAATGCAACATGCTTGGTTTGATCCGACAGAACTGATTATTATGTAAGAACCACCATGCGGTTTTCTAACAGTGGCTGGCTCCACTTATCAAATATATTTCACAGTACATACCCATCACTTTTCTTTAAAAGATAGCCCTTCTTCTCACTACCATATTCCTTATTTCCCTGAAGCTGGTGCATACTGTATCCTCCTTGCCTGCTCTGGGAATCCTACAGAGAAGGATAAGAATAAATCAGTATTTTTCTACTTTTTTCCCTGTTAATGTTTGACTTATTTTTCTTGTTTTGTGTTAATTACTTAACTTATAAAACCACAATGAAAAAAAAATGTAAGATGTAGTTTTGCATAGGACTTTGAGCTTGTTACATGGAGGGTTTTTTGGTGGGGGAGAGGAGAAGCGTTTAACATGTGAAGGATTATGAAATACTTCCACAAAATGATGAAAGCTTTGAAAGACTGAAGAATATTATAGTTAAAAAAGTTTAAAATATTAAATGTTTAAAAGTTTATAATGTCAACAGAAGCAAGTAAGCCATACATGCAGCACAGTATATATTTGCAGAATAAATATCTTCCTTATTTAACTGACTTTACCAAGTTATACAACTTAGTTTTATTCACAGTTTGTAAAGGAATGGATGTATCCAATGAATACATGTGTGTGCATGCTTGTATATACATATATATGCAAATACATGTGTGCATATACACACATACTTAAATATACACATTATACACACATACACAAACATATAACCTGGTGAAAAAATGCTGTGGTTTAAAGATCTGCAAATTCACTATGAAAACGATGATTCATTAAAACTTTGACTTACTCTCCTAGACTTCGATCAGGAAAGGCAAAGGCAACATAGGAAGAAAAGAGTAGAACATTAAGACAGCATTATTTGCTAAAAGAAGATGTGCATTTTGCAGTATATTCATTCCACTAATTCAGTTTGTCATACGGGCATCAATAAAAGCAGCAATAAATTTGCATGTTTAGTTGCTTCACAGTTGAAGTTACACAGCTCCTCATAGAAAGGATATAAAAAAAGGGAAAGTAAGTAAAGGGACAAGTAATGGCAAAAAATGAATGCTTGTCATTCCATAGCATGAATTGTTCTGAAAAAGCTGCCACTGATTCTAGCGGCAGAATCAGTGGGATTATTTCTACTAGTATGGATTTAATTCACAACCCCATCCCTCCTCCATGTTTTAACACTTGCAGTTCCATTACTGGAGCAGGGCTCAAGTATTAAAAGCAGTTTCCACTCCCTCAAATTTCAACTGTGTTTGTATGCCATGCTATGCCCCAGACAAAACTCAACAATATCAACTAGAAAGCAACATCTAAATTCTTCAACAGTGTCAATTTTACAACAAAAACTGGTTTAGAAAACCGACTAAAAGCATGTCTTCTGTTCCTTGATTTTTTTTCTCTCAAGAAAAAATGTGAATTGTTTAAGTAATACTTGGTTAAGATATTTTCAGAAGAGATTCAATCCACCATACATAAAAGTTTTTAAAGTCAAGAAAACTGCAGACAGGTATGAATACCATACAGTCCTGAGAATCCACTGGTATCACCTGACATCAACCTTGCTATGTCTTCTAGACCTTCTGTCTTTGTCCTCTGGGCTGCTTTATCTCTTTCAAGTTTTCCAGGTGTTTTTCTACTCCAAAGATCCCTACTCCTCAAACTGCTTTTCTTATTTTAGGGTTCCAGATGTGTGCTTATAATTGTTTCTAGAACATTGCAGGAAGGAAAGTACTCCTCCCTGTCAACCATTCTTCTATTTGAAGCAGTTGCCTCTTAAGGTCTTCTTTCTTTCTTTTCTTAAAACATTCCAGTCATGGGTTAATCACATGCATTTCCACATAAGTTGAAATATGCATGGACGTATTTGGTTAGAAATACTGCCTCTGCAATGATCATAACAGGTTACATTTTCACAAACATTAGAAACAAACTATAAGACACAGCAGGTAACAGATTAGATTATGAAGGAAGAGAACTGCCTTCAATTTTTGATAATAGTTTTGGTTCAGGTTATATGGAGTTTATTTCCTTGCTGTGGCTGCTAAAGTCAAAAGCGCAGAAATTCAGGCAGCCACAGAATGGCATTTACCGTACGTCAACAGAACAAGAAAGGGGGCAGAAGGTTCGATTGAAGGTCAGGGGTCTTTCTCAGTTTTTTTGGTGCAGGAAAGTCTGCTCTGAAGAAAAATGGAAATTCTTTATTTACCATGAACTTCTGTTAACCTAGAGTGAAGCAGGCTACCTTGTGTTGGGAGGCCCTGCCCCTGGGAAGGCAGACTTAGAATGAACTTCCTGGAGCAGGCATAGCTGCCTGGAAAGTCTCCAGTTGGTGCTTCCAGCAAATCAGATTGGACAGATTGCCCTCTCCATGCTGCTGCACCAAAAGGGCCCTTGAGAACCCAACAAACTGTGAAAGAAGGGGATAAACTCTACTTGCCCAGCCAACTGTCCAGAAGAAGCCCAGACGCAAGGGTGGACTTAGCTGGCTTCCTTCACTCTAGAACATAAATTCACTGGTGAATAAAAATTTTGGTTCCTCTACGAATGCAGGGGGTCAACTAGTGTTGGGGATGTGACATTCATGAACTCATGGGGGAAAATAGGCTTCAGTTTGCCAAAGAGGTCAACAAAATTTACAGCAAATGTGAACCTTCTGGTCAGATTTACAAAAGTAGGCTAACTTAAGTTATATAAACTAGAGGATGAAAAGAGAGCTTTTAGAACAACAGGAGGAAAATTCAAAGTTAGTAGGCTGAAAAGGAAGAAATAAGTTCAAGAAAGAAAGCTGCTTAGAAAAGCAGAGAATTCTAGCAGTAAGATATTGCTGCAAAGATCTTCGATGAAATAAAATCAGTGTGGTTATGGTTTCCTTGAATGCATTTACCCTGGTCATTTTCTTACCCATATGGTTTTATTTTCTCTGTGTCTGCTTGTGCATATTCTATAATCATTCAGATATTGAAACCATTTCCCTAATAATAATACTTTCTCAGAAAACATTTATAATGTTTTTTTAAATTTTGTGGTTTATTTATTTATTTAGAAAATTTCTATGCTGCCCCATTCGCCGAAGCCTCAGGGCGGCTCACCACAAAAATCAATTAAAATACTATAAATTAACAATATAAAATAAGTCGCCCTGGCCAAAGAATAAAATAAATAAATACTATTAACAGTTAAAATGATGTTTGAATAAAAAGGTCTTCGCCTGGCGCCGAAAAACAAATAACGATGGCACCAGGCGGACATCTCTGGGGAGCACATTCCATAGATTGGGTGCCACCGCAGAGAAAGCCCTCCTCCGAGTACTCATCCTCCTAATTTCCTTCACAGAGGGTTTCCGGAGAAGGGCCTCTCCCGCTGATCTCAGGGGGCGGGCGGGCATATATGGACATAAGCGCTCCTTCAGGTAACCAGGACCCAAGCCGTTTAGGGCTTTATAGGTCATCACCAACACCTTGAATTGGGCCCGGACTTAAATGGGGAGCCAGTGAAGCTGACGGAGGACTGGAGTCATGTGAACATAATGCCCAGTCCCCGTCAGCAGCCTGGCAGCTCTATTTTGAACCAATTGAAGTATCCGGACTGTCTTCAAGGGTAGCCCCACGTAGAGCGCGTTACAGAAGTCAAGGTGGGAAGTCACCAACGCGTGTCACTGTCACCAGGCAGTCGTACTCCAGGTAAGGGCGCAGCTGATGGATCAGCCGAAGCTGAAAGAAAG